CAGGCCCCTACAGTCTACCCTAAACCCTAAACCCCATATAAACTCATCCTTCAGGCCCCTACAGTCTACCCTAAACCCTAAACCCCATAGAAACTCATCCTTCAGGCCCCTACAGTCTGGAGCTCGGCTGGCCGGCCCGGGGTCAGATGAAAACCTGCTCCCTCGGGGCCGCGCCGGGCAAAAAAAAGGCAGCAGAAACGTCGAGGATGGGGGCCTGAATAAGTAGTTATGGGATTCTTGGATATACTGGTTTAGGGTTTAGGGTTTAGGGTCTAGGGTTTAGGGCCTTTAGGGTTTAGGGTCTAGGGTTTAGGGTCTAGGGTTTAGGATTCTACTACAACTTATGATTAGAGACCCCATGGAACAATATCAAGACTTATTTAGGCCCCTATACCAGACGTATGGAAAGGACTGCAGGCAGCATGACTCTGCATGCTGCCCGCAAATGAAGAATCAAGGCTTTCACGTTGACTCTGCGCTTTGCCATAGGCCGAGGGTTTATAGGGCGTAAACTTTACGGTATAGGGTTTAGTTGAGGGAGGGCGTTCAAGTTCAAAGAAGGCGCCAAGACAAACGTGAAAACGCTAAGAGAAAGGTTGCCATGATTGTGCACCAAGACCAACCTTAAGAACCCAAAACCCACTGTTTTGTAGGTTCTTATTAAAAACCCTAATATGGGATTTATAGGGACCCTACAAAAAAGTAGGTTTTGGGTTCTTAAGGAAGATGCGAACTTGCTCATTTCAGCAAGCTGGCATAGCTTTAGCTCGCGGCTGCTGCTTCAGATTGGCACCCAAACAAGCCTTAGTTGTCCATTTCGCTGGCTTGAGACGCTGGCCAGGCTTTCGGACTTCATACCAAAAACCCCCTTTAACCCTGATTCTTGAAGCAAAGCTTAGGAGGTGGGGTTTAGTGGACAAGTTTATTGCAAAACAAGTCTAGGGCCTAGGCTGTAATGGGTTGCGTACTGTAGGTACAGTTTAGGGTTCAGGGTTTCCGGGCAAAGCCAACTACCAAGAAGAATGAACCCTGAACCCTGAACCGTACACCCTGCCCCCTCAACCCTAAACCCT